TGGCGTCACATCCGCACACAATTGTGCACATTCTCTCACGCATTTGCACACACACACACACATACACACACATACACACTTGCACATGCACACGCACGCTCACATTCCACATTCTACGCCGCTTGGTTGCTTGTGCGTGTCCGTGAACAACACTCACTGACAACACACACACACACATACATACAACCCATAACCAACGCAGCGACGCGGCAGAAGGAAGTGAGAGAGAGTTTGTGTGTGAAGGAGACGTACACAATCCATCATGTCATTCCCACCACCACACGCGCCACCGCCGACGGGATTCCCGCCTCAGCCAGCCCAGTCACAACCGACGACCACAACAGCAGCGGCACCACCGCTCCAGCCGCCTCCGCTCTCTGGGACCCTTGCTCCCCCACCGCTCCAGCCCCCACCTCTCGGCAACAGCTACAGCGGCGGCAACAGCTACAAGATGCCTCCCACCACCAGCACATCACAGCCGCGTCCGCCGGCAACGAATGGCGGCCTCTCAGCGCCACCCACGTTCAGCACAAGCGCGGGAAGCAACGGCTACAGCGCACCTCCCACCATGCCACCTCCCACACTTGCTTCTGCATCGCAACCACCGCGAATGGCACAGCCACCTCCGCCAATGTCGCAACCACCATCCATGTCGCAACCCCCACCCATGTCTCAGCCTCCGCCAATGTCGCAACCACCATCCATGTCGCAACCCCCACCCATGTCTCAGCCTCCGCCAATGTCGCAGCCTCCAACCATGTCGCAGCCTCCAACCATGTCACAGCCTCCAACCATGTCACAGCCTCCAACCATGTCTCAACCTCCAACCATGTCTCAACCCCCACCGCTGTCTCAACCCCCACCGCTGTCTCAACCCCCACCGCTGTCACAGCCACCACCCATGTCTCAACCTCCACCCATGTCACAACCGCCCACGGCGACGACAACAGCAACAGCAACAGCAACCGCATCCATGATGCCACCGCCGCTGCATGTACAGCCACCCGTCTTCCACCCGCCGCCAATGTCGCACTCAGCAACAGCGGCACCAACGACAGCAGCACCACCGCCGCCACCACCAACAACGGCGCCCGCGCCCCAGCCTGGTGCCGCCGCCTTCACGCAGCAGCCACCAACAAGCCAGCCGCCAAGCGTGCAGACGTCGTTGCCGCCGCCGCCGCTGTTCTCGGCCCAGCCAGACCCGGGTGCACAAGGCCCTGCCCGCCGCATGTCCGCATCCACAGGCGCGCACCCCGTCATGAACCAGACTGCGCCCACGCGTGCAGACGCGCCGACAAACATCCTGGGGCAGCGCAACATACTGCCGGCAGCACCCGCGCGGCCGCCACGTGCGCAGCCGCTGTCTGACTCGCAGCGGCGGGCCAACTGCGACCCGAAGTTCATGCGGGCGACGATCAACGCCATGCCGGAGACATCGTCGCTGCTCTCGCAGTGCCGCCTCCCACTCGCCCTCCACCTCAACCCCTTTGGCGAGGTGCGCTGTGCATGTGGCGTGGTGTGTGTATTGTGTGTATGTATTGTGCGTGTATGTGTGTGTTGCGTGTGTATGTATTGTGTGTATGCTGCATGTTGTGTATGTACACGTGTGTGAGTATATGTGGTACCACGTAACGCGTGCGTTGACAAAAAGCTTACCACCCTGCCACTGTCCACTCGTTTGTCGACTGCTCTGCAGGATGTGCCGGTGATGAGTGGTCTCCCCATTGTCCGCTGCCGCAGCTGCCGCACAGTACATCAACCCGTTCATCTCCTTCATCGGCCAAGGTCTTGT